CCACCTCACACACACACACACAACAGCAACAAAAAAAAAAAAAAGACAATGACAAGATTGTCACACAAAAGGAGAACTTACTATTCCAGAGGATACTAATCCAAAAATGCAATGTGCAAAAGAAAATTATAACAACACAAGTGCAATAGATGCATTTGCACATACTCAAAGATAATTAACCGAGGAGCACTTCCTGCATTGTGTTTATCTACCACAAATTAATCAGTGTCTTCCATAGTTAAAAGAACTAGGACTGTAATCTTTTCTAAGACTATTTGTTCTTGTCCCAAACATCACTCCTAAATCCAGGGCAGAAAATCTTATAGCTGCCAAAAGACTACATTTCTGCAGTAACAGTAAAAAAATCCAAATTTGATTGCTTTAAAATTGTATCTAGTACCCAGTATATACCATCATAGACATGTTGCTTAGAAGCTTCAGCAACAAATTCATGTAGAATTCCATTAATTTCAACCCAACTACAACCAGGTTTTTTCTTGATTCTTTGATCTCTCATCATCTTCACTGTCCTGGAAGCATCTTCCAACATATTGCCAGAGCTATACAAATTCCAAAGAAGTACATACACCCCGTCATCATGAGGTTCTAGTTCAAGTGCTTTCTCTGCAGCCATTTCAGCTAATTCCAAATTTCTATTCGCGACACAAGCAGTCAAAAGTGATCTCCATATGACAGCATCTGGTTTCATAGGCATTTGGTGAATCAGTCTCGCTGCTTCATCTATATGACCTGCCCGACCAAGGAGGTCCACCATACATCCATAATGCTCTATCTTAGTTGAACAACTACTGTCATTCTTCAGCCTGTTGAATAATTCTTTCCCCTCGTTAACTAATCCAGCATGGCTGCAAGCAGATAGAACGGAAAGGTACGTAATCTCATTTGCAGTTACCCCAGATTCCAACATCTCATCAAAAAACTCTAGGGCATTTGTTCCTCTACCATGAAGTGCCAAACCTAAAATTATGCTAGTCCACGTGAAAGCATCCTTTTTTATCATTCCCCTAAAAATCTTCGTAGCTAAATCAAGATTCCCACTTTTAGCATACATATCAATCAGTGCATTATTTACACCAATGTCGACAGCAAAACCAGCTACCTTATTTACATACCCATGAATCAATTTCCCAAAATCCAGAGCTCCAATATCAGCACAACCAGATAGCACAGCAACTATTGTGATTGTGGTCGGGCTGTCATCACCTTCCTTCCTCATTCTCTTAAACAGTTCCAACGCCCCAACCGGTTCTTTGGCACGTACACATCCCACAATCATGATAGTCCACGAGATAGCATTCCTGTGGGACATTTCCTCAAACAACTTCCAAGCAGACTCAATTGCCCCTGAAATTACAAACCCATTGAGCAAACTGGTCCAACTAGCAACATCCTTAACGGGCATACTATCAAATACACATCGTGCCAAGTTGATTCTCTCTGTTCGACTATACATATCGATCAGAGCATTACCCACAATTGGTTCAGGTCGACTAAGAAATTTATAGGCCATAGCGTGCACTGTTTTGCCATTAAGCAGGTCTTGCGTGCGAGCACAAGCTGAGAGAGCTGCAACTATGGAATGGGAATCAGGTTTAAGAGAAGTTGAAACCACTAAACGGGTGAACAGAGAGAAGGCTTTAGTAGGTTGTTGTAATTGCAAATGCAGAGACAGAAGACAAGTCCAGGAGACAATATCAGTTTGGGGAATTTGATCGAACACCTTGTGGGCATCAAATGGTTTGTTCAGCTTGGCATATACATTGAGCAATTTGCAGGCAAAAGATTGATGAGATTGAGCGAAGAGACCACAGGTGATAGATTGAGCGTGGATTTGCTTGATCAAATTCTCATGGCTTACGCATTTGTCAAATAGACGTTTCAAGGTTGTAGCTGTCGCTACCAGTATCTCGCTGTTTTGGATGACATGAAAATTCATTAGAGTTCAAATATAGTCCTAACAGAAAAGAAAAAATATTTACAAGGCAAAGAGTTCTCTAAATTTACTTTAAAAAAATTAATCACAACAATAAATTGTTAAAGAAAAGTGATTGTCAGTACCAAACATTAATAGTACAAGTGACATTGAAACCAAAGAAATTGGGTAGTTTTTACTCTTTAACTTCCAAAACTTGTAGATTTCTTAAGTTTTAGGTGTCTCATTTTTTTTATGAGTTACCTCCCAGAAATATACAGAAACCCACAAATATTTGATTCGTTTTCACAAATATTAGTGATGATTGAAGTCAATGCGAGTGTTAAAGGAAACACATGTAAATGTGGGGAAGGAAATGACTCGCAGGGGAGGAAATGCCAAGACCAAGGTAGATGCCGTTAAATATCCAATCAATTGCATAAGCTAACAAATAATCCATCAATCAATTAGGTGAGTTATTCAAACGGATTACAACTGCACTGCAATTTTTGTGCCAACGAGCTGCTCAGTCTTCATTTACACTAATTTACTTCAGAACAAATTACAGGGCTATAGTATGCCTTCACTACATATTTGGACAACAACCGCCCGTCCCAAATACTCCATAATGCACCAATTTCTTGTATATGATGCGCAAGGGCCAGAACTGAGTTTATGAGTTACTATCTTGAGCATCTCAACAACATGCGCCCTGGAAAAGAGCGATAAATATCAGAAGCTCGCAGAGAAGAGTGCACACAGAGCCTTAACGGCAGATTTCAAAAACATGTAAGGTCAGGATATTGTCCCCTTATATTTTTAAGTGAGTTTATCCATGTATTTTTTCTTTTTAAGAGTACATGTGCAAGAAAAGGACATTTACCTTGTACAAAATCGCTCATACACCTATAACCCTTTCGCAGACAGAGCTCAAGTCAGGAACTTTCTTGATACTGCATCCAAAAAGAGTATTAAACACATTAATAACTTAAAACCATAAAAGACCAAACCTAGTACAGCCAAAACTTAATAAGAAACAGAAAACAACCAACCATATATTCTTCATCAAAAGAAGCCACACAAATTGACATTATTGTCCAAAAGTTTTTGCAACCATATACTCTTTGCCATAAGAAGCCGTTCAAATGAACATTCTCTAAAGGTTATGGGTTTAAAGCCATTCTAATGATGGCTTACATGACAACCAAGAAGTGTTAAAACTCAAGCCATAAAAATGAGATTTATAGGATATTCTTAATGATTTTGACATTGTTGAAATAATGATTAGGAATCTCAACAAGTAGGAAATTTTCCTTTTTTCATCTCAAACATAAGGAGCCCATCTGTACATTGTTAACCAACCACTTCACTTAGAGCAATTCTCTCTTTCTCTATTTGTAGTAAGCAATAACTAAAAAGGTTTGTGCAAAACAGGTGTCAAGAAATAGCAGTGAGTATGTCGGTACCCCAAGCCAATTGAGCAAACTAAGCATTGGCAAGTTATCTTCACCTTTATCACTATCAGATGCAAAAATGTTGACATAGCCTTTAAGAACCAAATTTCAAGTATATAAAAGGGATAAAGGTTTTAAAGGAAATAGTCCGAGTCCACAAGTCACCTACATAGCAGTGGAAAATAGATTAAGGAAAGATGCCTTTGGAGACAGAACCTGTGACCTCTAGCTCAGAACAGATCGTACCACACCATGCTCTCACATAGGAAAACCAAACCAACATTCAGTATAATGTTTTACATGGCAGATACCTGTACAAAAGGTCTCCAGTGGGAGCAGACTTCTTGCATAGCCAATCTGGAACTAGTCTCTCAAGATGTTCTATCTGCCCTTCCACATCAGCTACGTTAAGACAAAATGGCTTTAGATCTATCAAAAAGTTGTAAAACATGAACCAGCAAAAGTAAGAAAAGAAAGGATATAGCTTTTGAGCATACTGTTCTCATCAATATCATAGTCATTCACTATGATCTTGTGAACAAGTTCCACTTTAGTCATTGAACGACAGCCAACAGACTGGAAAATGCGGTGAATTAGACGAACAAGACCGGATAAACCAAGAGATTCCTGCTGGGCCGCAGTCAAATGACATTGATAATTCTTCTCTTCCTTGCTAAAGGAGCAATTCCTTTCCTGAACCTACCAGACGATTCACAATCAATTTCGTGGTAAATCATATTAATAAAGCAAGTCAAACTATAGAGGCAATAGTCCAAGTTGCCTTTAGCTCTGAACATGCTTAGTATACAGAAAGCAATCCAACCATACACTTGGATAACGACCCAGGTAATAATGGTATTGGTACCTCGTGAGGGCATATATCAGCATTAGCATGATCTTCCTTTGAAATCGACTTCCTTTCCATTTTAAGGGCATTATCTACATCTTCATGATGCTCTATACTG